TGACTTTGAGACAGTGACAAAGAATGCAGCTATACACATTGTACATATCCTAAGCCGCCATTGTCTGTGAACTCTCACCTCATTCAGAGAACAGCATGAAGTGAATTGGAGTTTTGCTACCACTTTATTCAGGACTTTAGTAAAGCCAAATCTCAAATTACTGTACACAAAAAACTGTAATCACATTCTTGCACATAGAAATATAGCTTTCCTCCCAATTTCTACCTAATGTGTGTGGGGCGGGGGGGCACAAAATCTTAACTCTTAAGAGCAGCTGTATTTTTCATTGTGCACTATATGCATTTGGTTCCTGCCAGAGCAGGGCTTCTGTCCAAACTCTGAATCTATTAGGCTCTTGGGGGCCTTTTCCAAATGCCTAGCTGAAGTTTTCCATCCTTGGCAGAAAAATAATTGGTGTGGAAATTGCCATTTCCATTGCTGATCCCTGTCCTGCCTCTATTGCACATCACTGCCCCCACCTGATTTCCCTCCAGATTAAGGAGCATTGTAGACTAACACATTGTCTCCATCTTGAAGCTGCCTTTGGACCGTTTTGGGAATAAGGGATAAGTAGCACTTTAATAAGAGTTCAGCTAAGGCTGGTTTAATTCTACCTCATGGTTGGAAATGAGTTGAAACCAATATCACAGAGAAATAACGAGGGGAAAAATGTTGCTGGGGAGCATGTACTATAAAAAAAAGGTGTGAATAACACAGGTAGTAGTGAGTTAACCAAAGAGCACTGGTTTGCATTGCATTGCTAGTTTTGTTAGGAACCAGAGCGAGACCTATTTCAAAATTATTCATTTCAAACGATAAATGCAAAAAACAAAAAGATATGCTGTGTGTTTTTCTAATGAAGGTTAGAATTTAGATTTGCTCCCTTTGGGAAAAGACATAGTTTGCATTTATCATACATGAGCACAGTGTTGATCTTTGGGATTCTCCATGCTTTATTACAGTAAATGGCAGTGAGCATTTGAACATCTGCTGCCGTCATTGGAATAAAAAGTATGAGCTTCATTAGCAAAGCCGGCTGAGAGAAGACTTTACTAGCAGATCTAGGCCAGTAATTCTAATTAAGTATAGAACACTGGGATCCAGCAGGTAGTTCATTCAGCCACCCAAGATTCAAGGGCCAGAACCCATCACTACCTCAGTCTCCTCCATTCTGACAGTAATTTAACTCATAATAATAGATCAGTGACTGGAAATTGGTTCATTGAAGCACACAAGATGAAATACAGGTAATGATATGATTTCTAAAATTCAGAAAACTGACAGGGAACAGGGCTTGAGTTATTAACCAAACTCATCTGTGCTAATCAAAACAAAATTGGGATCTTGCACAAAAAACCCCAAAAGAAAAGTGCAAATCAGAAATAAAAGGATGGATATTAAACTCTAGTGCTAGTCGTCACTTATAAAGCCCTACATGGCATCGGACCTGGGTACCTGAGAGACTGCCTCCTGCCAATTACCTTCCATAGACCAATCAGATCGCACAGACTACGCCTCCTCCGGATTCCATCTGCCAGCCAATGTTGGCTGGCGACTTCCCGGGGGAGAGCCTTCTCTGTTGCAGCTCTAGCCCTCTGGAACGAGCTCCCCGTGGAGATCCGGACCCTTACTACTCTCCCGGCCTTCCGCAAAGCCACTAAGATCTGGCTGCTCCGGCAGGCTGGGGGCCTGTTGAAATAGCCAGCCCCACGGGAACTATGAATGTTGTGCATTTTAAATTGTTGTTTGTCTATTTGTCTATTTCCTTTGTTTATTGTAAGCCGCCTGGAGTCCTTCGGGAGTGGGCGGCATACAAGACCAATAAAATACAAATACAAATACAAATACAAA